GTTCAACCCACCACAGCATGGTTTTGGAGAGAAGGAGCTGTGAACTTAGAGTAGCACCAATCTGCCTGGGTATGAGTAAAATCGTGGTCATCTAATCTGAGCTGAGAAAGGATAGCTGCGGTAGGAAAACTTGGAGCAGCCATTGGACTTGAAGTCCTGAGGATGAAAAACATGTGCAGCAAACTGGAAGGATCATAGATTTTAGTCACTGGGCTGGTGTTTGAGTTCATGGTCATGGAGAAGCGCTAGTAACTGGGCCCAGAATAATATTGTAGGACAAGGACAGCGGAAGTGGAAGAGATGGAACTGGTAACAAGGACACAGAAGTAAGTAGCCAAAGCTTTCAGATTCGCCACTGGGACACCAGTTTCCTGGGAAATTCCTAGGATGACCAGGATGGAGAGGAAGATGAGGCAGTCATTAGTTAATGAGGTGTGAGCAAAATGAATAATGAGAAAAGGAAGATGGCTTTAGTCAGCCAGCAGGTATCAGCTTCAAAGTTTTTTTGTTTTTTGTTTTTTTAAATAATAAACAGTAATCTGGAAATAACATGGGGAACCAAGAAAAATGAAAACCAACAACTGACCCAAGTCTCATAGGGGGATACCCCAGAGTATATAGTAGGCAGGTGAGAATTGAAATCTTCACCATCCTATTCATTTGAGAAATCATCAAAAGCAACATTGTATATGGATCAGGACATAGATAATCCCTGATGGGAAAGAGAATCCTCTGCACAGTACAGTTATTTCAGGGAACGCAAAGCCAAGCTGTGACCATGCCTGGTCGAAGTATGCACAGTACAGCCAAAGCAACAGTCACAGAACACACATGAACGCCAAGGACCAGGTAAGAGGGGAATGAGTCATAAGCTGGACAGGCTGGTGTTGACTTTCACACTTGTATTCAAAAAATTTCCAAGGAGACTTTGAAAGACATGATACCAACTTTATGTGATAAAATATTCTAATTTTATTCAGTGAAATTTACTTTGATACTTTTAAATTATGGTAAACAGTAATAGAAATGATAAAGCCCCTCCATCCTGCTGAAGTTTTGTGCTGCTAAATGTCACTGTAGAATAGAAAATGGGAAGATAGGATGGGCATGGTGGCTCACAGCTGTAATCCTAGCACTTTGGGAGGCAGGAGGATCACAGTGCGAGGCCATGTCTCTAAAAAAGGAAATTAAAAAAAAAGAAAAAAGAAAACGGTAAGGTGAAGAGTGAAAGCAACATGATCAAAGAAAAACACACAGAGTATTTGGAGAGCAGCTTGACAAGCATACTTAGTTATGATGGCAGGAAGAAATCTTAAAAGGGCAGGCAAAGGACGTTTGCAGACTTTATACTTCTCCTTACTCCTTACAAGAAAAAACAATTTGTAATACCTCCAAGGTGCTTTCCAGCTTTAAACTGCATTCTCATGTTATTATTCCAAACACGGTGAGTGTCAGACAGCACACATATACTAGATGTAATACAGACAACAACAGTGAGGATCAGAGAGACCCAGTGCTCCACATCTGTCAGCCAAACTGGAGCTGGGGCTGGACCTAAGTCTCCCCTGAGTTTTGCTCATTTTCACTACTTCGTGTCCTGTCAATCCTCAGAGTACTTTGGGAAAGCTATTCTGGAAATGTAACACAGGGAAGACTGGACAGAAAGAAACTGAGAGAGACGTTGCTGGAATTCAGGCTACACATGCCTCCATCCTAAGGACTACATGTGAGATTGAAGAAGGCTGTTCTGAGGCATCAGCAGAAGAAAATACAGGACTTGATCAATAATTTTGATAGAATGAAGAAGACAAAAGACTCAAAGACACATCTGAAATTTCCAGACAACCTGATACAAATGGTGTCCTTGCAGAGAGAAGATGATTTGTAGGCATGAGAGAAGAGAGCTAATGAATTTGATTCTGGTGTGCATTGAGTATTTGAGGAAACAGGAAAATATACAGGGCAAGATACCTATAACACTTGTAAAATTATATTTCAGCTCAAATATTGGACCTGGAGATTTTAAATTAGAAAGGAAATGACATTAAGAGTTGGCTGACTTTATATTTCAGTTTTTCTAAAGATGAATGGGTCATATCAAAGAAACAAATGGTAAATAATAAAGAGTATTGATAAAGTTATTCTCTGAATGTACAAAAAATCAGATTTTATAATAATTGTCATTTCTTGTTTCTTCTTAGTCTTAATTCAAACAGCATAGTCTCAATGCCTCTATCTACAGTGACAAATTAATCTGTGATTTCAGTATCCAACTTTCCTATTTTTTAAAGAGATACGTTCTTCTCCAGCTGTGTCCCAGTTACACCTAGGCTAGATCTCTTTCAATGTGCATTGGGAGAAATTTTCAAAATGATACATTTGACAGACAATCTTCATCTGGATTTAAATTAAGGCCCTATGCAAAACACTGCCTGGCATGTATAAAAAGGATCTACATATGTCAAACAGAAGTTACAGGTGGAATAAGGAAACAGGTTGGTAGTTCTCTGGGAGCTTTAGAAATTATAATTCAGGTCTGATGATAGTGGCTAGAAATCTCTGATAAATTAAAAATTAAATATTTTCTTTTTTTTTTTTTTTTGAGAGGAGTTTTGCTCTTGTTACCCAGGCTGGAGTGCAATGGCGCGATCTCGGCTCACCGCAACCTCCGCGTCCTGGGTTCAGGCAATTCTCCTGCCTCAGCCTCCTGAGTAGCTGGGACTACGGGCACGCGCCACCATGCCCAGCTAATTTTTTGTAGTTTTAGTAGAGACGGGGTTTCACCATGTTGACCAGGATGGTCTCGATCTCTTGACCTCGTGATCCACCCGCCTCGGCCTCCCAAAGTGCCGGGATTACAGGCTTGAGCCACCGCGCCCGGCCAAAATTAAATATTTTCTAAATTAAATTTACTTTTGGGGAAGTATAACGCAAATGTAGAGCAACACAGTAAAAATCATTTTGGATTTAAAATGAAAATGTTAAGGATGTGGAGGTAGAAAAAAGTAGCTATTAACTCAAAATAAAATATTCTGGAAGCATTATGATCTGCTTTTATATACAGCATAGAGGTGACAATGCATGAAGAAGTAGAAAAATGAACAGAGAAGCAGCGAAGTAATATAAAATGGACAAATTAGGCAGAAAATGAAAGAAGTGAAGCAGAAATTCCCTTCAATTACAAAGACTCAAGTGTTTAATTTAGAAGAAAAAGCCTGAGAGAACACTATATATTTCTTTCTGCAAATTTATGGTCCCTTCCTTCTCTTAAACCAGCCATTTCTACAAAACAGATGGGAGGGTGCTCCTTACAGTAAGAATGCCCACATAATTCAAAGTCCTATCAGGGCATTTTTGTGTAGAACTAATGCCAAACCAGATAAGATATCAGAACCACTGATATAATCAAAGTATACCAAAGGCAAACCAGAGTGAAGGTGTGGTAGATTGATTGCAAATATGGCCACGATTCCTCAGTCCTCCCTGTATCCCAGTTTTACTGAACTTCACAGCTCTTCTTATCAGTAGGTGGACTCTATTGCCCAACCCTTGACTCTGGTCTGGCTCTGTAATTAGTTCTGGCCAATCCAGTGTTACAGAAGCATAATGAAGTGCTAGTTCTGAGACTTGGCCTTGCTTGATACCTTGAACACCTCTTTCTCTCCTCAACTCTTGCACCCCTATTAGAACAAGCCCAAGCTACCCTGCCTATAGGATCAAACATCATAGGGAGAGCTTAGCTCCACCATTTATCACCCCCTGCCCTTCTGTTATTTAGCTAACCCCAGAAGCTGAACCACATAGCCAACCTGCAGCTGACACTGAGAGCCCAGCCAAGAGCAAAACCACTCAGCTAAGCTGCACCTCATATCCTCTAAAATTTTGAGCAAAATAAGTGGTTGGGATTTCCAGCCATTAAATTTTCTATCAGTTTGTTACACAGCAATAGCTAATAGATACATGCACTATGGGTGTGCCTATCACGTCAGAGGTGCAGCAACACTGTTTCCTACTGGAATGAACCAATCCAACCCATCTGCACCTGAAGCAGCGTTAAGAAATCCAAGGCTCTTCAGCCAAAGCCTTAGAATATATTATGCTTCTTTTTAGTTTCTTACTTCCAGGCATTTAAGAGTGCTTCACCAAAAATTAATTATTAGCTATTTTCAGGCTTTCCCTATTAAAACCTGGCCAGACATGGTGGCTCACACCTGTAATCCCAAAACTTTGGTAGGCAAGGGCCAATGAATCACTTGAGGTCAGGAGTTTGAGACCAGCCTGGCCAACACAGTGAAACCCCGTCTATACAAAAAATACAAAAATTCCCCTGGCCTGGTGGTGGTTGTGCTTATGCTAAAATCTTGGATCAATATTGGTATGTAATTTTTAAGATAGACGGTTAATTAAATAAATGAGGCTTGTTGTTGTTGTTGTTATAGGAGTGGAGATAACATGATGTATTAGTCCACTTTCATGCTGCTGATAAAGACATAGCGGAAACTGGGTAATTTATAAAGAAAAAGAGGTGTAATGGGCTCATAGTTCCACGTGGCTGGGGAGGCCTCATAGCCATGGTGGAAGGTGAAAGGCATGTCTTACATGGAAGCAGGCAAGAGCGAAAATGAAAACTAAGAGAAATGGGATTCCTCTTACAAAACCATCAGATCTTGGGAAGCTTACTTATTCACTATCATGAGAACAATATGGGGGAAACTGCCCTATGTTTCAAATTATCTTCCCATGGGTCCCTCCCACAGCATGTGAGAATTATGGGAGCTACAATTCAAGATGAGATTTGGGTGGGGACAGGGCTAAACCATATCACATGAGTTAGATCTCAAGGGTTCTTTTGAGGAGCAAATAACATATCCAGCATACATAGCTCAATGTCCAGCCCAAATGTTAGGCCTCTGACCTCATTGACCATGATAGGGTTCTCTTCTCTAAGCCTGATAACCTCTGCCCTTAGAGCAATGAGTATCATTTGAAATTACAAATTCTCAGATAGTATAGGCAAATTTATTTCTACAGTAGAAGCATTTATCTCAGATATAGAAAAATAACACTATTTCAAAGACAGAGTAAGTAAACAGAAGTATATTTTTTCCTTGCATACCCATCCTCAAATGTCAACATACATTTGAGTTTCAAGCCACTCTTAACAAGGAAGAAACGCAGAATCAAGGTCAACAGAAGAGCTATATTAAAGCTACGTATCAACCTTGAAAATCAGAAAACACAAAGTGATCAGTACAGTGATTCTCAACTTTAGTGTGCATCAGAATCACTTGGATTGTGGAGAAAGCAGTTTCAGACAATTGAAGGAAAATCATCAGGTTAAACAAGCCCTTGGTCTCAGAATAAATATCAAAGAAACTAAAGATATGTACTTTGTTCCTCAGGGAAGGGGGAAGGACAAAATATGCTACAATATAAAAGATCAGCCATTTACTCTGTGTGACTTCTCTGAGCTTCAGATTCAGGAATAACAACAGATACAACTCTAAAAAATTGTTCTACATATCAGGTTAGATAGTGTAATAAGTGCTTCTCTAATCCATAACACATAGCTACTATCATTATTTCAACATCATCATTATTATTTGATACGGAGTACATTTTCCCACCCACCCCCCACTCCCAAATGGCTGCTATTGCTTATTTTAAAAGTCAAACAATCAGTCATTGGGTTCAAGCTCACGGAATACAGGTACCATTTTTATACTGTTATCATTTTTACTAGCTTCAACCATTTACTTATAAGATTTCAGTACATTATTGAAACGACAATTTTTGTACCCAAACCAAGAAAATTACTGAAAGAAAAGGAACTAAAGCTTTAAAATTACCTCTTCCTTCTAAAGCATTAGAAGTGAGATAAATAATTCTTTTCAAAGTGACCCATTTTAGATAATCTCTAATGTTCCGTGTATTGTTTTCTGAATCTGAGAAGGCTATTTATAGATGTAATCATGGGAATAAAATACCTATAATCTTCATCACTTCCTATATTCAATATACTACATAGTAACATTTCATAGTTAAAGTTTTTGGCCATTTAAGTACCTATCCACATAAATATCTGAGGTTTTAATATTCTAAAACTATAAAACATAGCTATAGAGGTACAGAGTTAAGCAAGGACAGGATTTCTCAACCTCAGCACTAATGATATTTTGGGTTGGAAAATTCTTTACCGAGTCTGTGGCAGGGGAAGGGGGGTTGAGGAAGTATGCATTGCAACCTTTTCCCTACCCCAGTTTTGACCACCAAACATGTCTCCAGACATCGCCAAATTGGTCTTCTAAAGGCCAAAATCAACCCCAGTTGAGAACTTCTGGGCTAGAATTTTATATAGACATAATTGTAAACTCTGGGTACACAGACTATACAAGACTCTATGTAATATTATAAGGTAGAGAGTCCAGCACAGTAAATTTCCACTATGCTGTTTATGCTAGGGCACAGTTTTTATATACTACTTAGGCATACAGTTATCCACATATAACTTTTTCCTACTGAACACTGACATGAGACAAGAAAAGAAACCACAGCTAATCCAGCAACCATCATTCTATCACCTGATATGAGAGAAATCTACAGTCTTCAAATATTTGCTAAATGGAGGCCTGGAAAAATCATTGCAAGTGTCCTTCTTTTTGAATTCGAAGTCTGTCTTTCTCTACTTGTAAGCGCTCCTTTTCAATCTGTAGCTTCTCCGATTCAAACTTCAAAAACTGCAGCCTATCCTTTTCCAGTTGCAAGCGTTCTCGCTCAAGTTTTAACTTCTCTGTTTCTATGTCCTGTGGTTGAAGCATGGACTTTTCTCCTTGACCAAGTTCAGTTTCCAAGGATGGTTTCTCTGAATTGACTATCTGTAACCTCAACTTCTCTCTTTCAATCTGCAGCCGTTCCTTCTCCAGCTGAAGCCGCTCGTGCTCCATGTCTAAATGCCGCAGCCTCTCTTTCTCGATTTGTAGGCGTTCCTTTTCCACCTGCAGTCTTTCAGCCTCGATATCCAGTCGTCGTTTTTCCAACTCTAGTTTCTGTTTCTCAATACTGACAAGCAAATGAGGCTCATCATATGCAGATCTAGATGGTGTTGAATTAAGGGTAAAAAACTCATCAATGTGGGGGAAATCTGGAAGTTCATTTTCTCTCCTGGGATCTGGTATGACGGATGATAACATTTCTTCCTCCTCCTCAATCTCAAACTAAGAGCAAAGAGAAAAGCAATTTTCAGTATTGACTTCTACTTCATGGCAATTTGTCTAAATATTTCCCAAAAGCTTTCTGCATTGTTTGGGGAAACATACTTAATTTGAATTTTGAATATCATTTCCATTGAATTACTTAATGTCTGTAATACATATGACCTAGGTAATTATATTTAGGTGGGAAGAGAAGTATTAACGATGTACAGTGAAAACAAATAAAATGACCTTGTTATGTTCTATTTTTAAATAAGCTTGAACAATAATCTCCCAAATCAGAATTGAAAAGATTAAAAGGGGGTACACAGGCTAATACTTACTTCAGGACTCTGGGGATCCCTTTCTTCCTCTTCCACTTTAACCTCAGTTAAGGAACCACCTGCATCCCTGTAATCAGCCACGTTTTGCCAGTCAAAATTTGTATCATTTCTGAATCCAATCTTTTCATCTATCTCTTCAGTGAGAGAGTCATCTAAATCAGAGGAGGGAAGGGGAAATCCTGAACCGACCAGCTTAATGTTGGCCTTCATCCTCTTTCTCTTCATAAGTGCTCGCCAGTCAAGGTATCTTCTTTTCACCTCTGTCCCTGTCCTCTGTTCTCCTTCTCCCACAGCATTCACACACTGTGCAATCTCTTCCCAAGCCATTCGCTTCATCACGTTAATTGTTGTATTGAGCTGCTTGGAAAAAATGACTTCTTTCCTTTTTGTAATTTCTTTCAAAAGGGTCTGAGTTTCTTGAACACTAAAATTGCTTTTCCTTTTTCTTTTTAACTGCTTCATTTTTTTAACTTCAGTGCAGTTTTTATAGTAAGAGAAGATGTGAAAACAATTTGGGGAATGCTGCAAAGCACAAAAACCAAGGATAATTCTCTGCTGGCACTTAATTCAAATCATCGTCTTCCATTCATCTAGTAGCAGGGGCAGGCTGGATAATTCCTAAAAAGGAAAAGGTACAAGCAATCAATCTGCAACTTCTATAACATACTTCAACATAATAAGCTATATAATATTTAAAAGAAACAAAAAGCAACCCTCTAAATATAGCTTAAAAATACTGAATGTAGATGACAGGATGATGGATGCAGCAAACCACTATGGCACATGTATACCTATGTAACAAACCTGCACATTCTGCACATGTACCCCAGAACTTAAAGTACAATAAAAAATAAAAACAAACAAAAAATTGTCTTCTTTATCTTTGCCAGTACCAACATTGTCCAAATTGCCATCTTTTCCCCAGTGTGCTGCTGCTAAGATTCCTAACCAGTTGCCAGTATTCACTCTTGACTCCCTTCCTATTCCTTCAACTCCTTCTCCCACGAATTCTCCCTCTCTCCTCCAATTGCACTGGCCATCTTTCAGCCACCTATTCCTGTCAAGCTCTTTCTTGGTTCAGGGCCTTTGTCCACACTGTTCCTTCTGCCTGGAAAATGGACTGCTCCCTTTTTGGCCTACTTAATTCCTACTCATCCTTTAGCTTGCAGATTAAGCATCCATTTCTCAGTGAAGCCTTTCCTGATAAGTCAAATTACTCCAGCATAAAATTCGCAGTACTTTTCCTAGACTGAATTTTATAGTTGTGCTAACATACAGCTCAGAGTCTGTCCCTTTCCCCACTTCACTGCAAAGTTTCACAAGGGCAGGGATGTTTCCTCTAGCCATTACCTCCCCAGAGCCTAGCAGAAATTCTGGCACATGGCATGCGCACCATAAATACATTTTGAATAAACAAAAGAGTCTATTTGCCAAAATGAACATAGTTCGAGATATCTAAAAGAAAAAGTATACTTTGTAGACTAATTTGAGGAAAACTGAAAGGCTGAGCTGCAAAAATCAGTAAAACTCAGAAGCCAATTTAAGGCAATGTAATCTGATCAAATAAACTTTACTACTTCACAAATTCAAACTGATTTTAAGGTTAAACCAACATAGAAACTCTAAACCTGGAATATAATTTCCTGAAACCATTAAAGTATTATAGGAATATGATAAAATAAAAGGATTAACATAAAAATGGCAAGGATTTTACCCGGCCATCCCACCTAATTAATCAAGTTAAAGAAAAAAAAAAAAAAAAATCAAAAAAAAAAAAAAAAAAAAAAAAAAAAAAGATAACCAATAAAGAAAATGATCACCAAAAAAGAAAAAGGCAAGGATCACCAAAAATTGTTTTTTGATTCCTAAACTTTTCATAGACTAGTACACACTGTTTGGTTTGCCCTCGTAATTCTGTTCCTCAAAGCTCACCCCATCCTCCTCCCGCTCAAACTACCTAAACAAAAGCCCCTTACACCAAACAAAATGAGGCTGGACTATGTTTTTGTTTCAATTAAGGCTCTTAATTATGTGCCTTTCTTTGGAGAATTTCTCAGCAGTATTTTGCATTGTTCTGTGCTGCTTTAATTATAGAGCTGAAGATCATGATACAGGAAAGTAAACTATACTTGGAGTCTCCATTAAATACATTTTAAAATATCCATGTGGCAGTATTTGTATACAGAGTTTGAGTGAAAAAGATCCTCTCTTGTAAGCATTTCTTTTAGATATAAGACTATGTTTCTCCAATTTCCAGACTCTCGGTTTGTTGGACTGTTAAAGAGGGTGTACCTGAAACTTGTCAGAAACGTAAGCTTTTTAGGCTCTCTTCCAGACCAGGAACTCTAGAAGTGGGACATAGCAATCTGTGTTTCAATAAACCCTCCAGATAACTCTAATGCACAGTAGCCTTTGAAAACCTCCGTGCTAGACCCACATTCCCACAAAAAACAGTTGCTTCACATGCCTGATTCTCTTATCTACCTTGAATTCAAGCCTTACGTAAGTGCATCTGGTGGAATCTAAAGCACATCCACAATCCTCACTGCAATGGATTGGAGAAGTGCGTAGTTTTTGTGCTAGCTAACCTTTGCATTACTGGGAGGCATACTAGAAGGCCAGAACAGATGTTGAGTGAGTCAGGGACTGGATTTTCTCATACTGGCAGAAAATGAGGCCACCTATCAAAAAGGTCCCAGTGTCTTACACAATACAGTACATATTGCTTTATTAATATTGATTCACCTGAGAAGTGGGAGAGATGTCAAAAAAGCACTTTGAATTGGAAAAGAGATTTTAAAAGATCTAAGGAGAAACAAGAGTTCAGAAAGAGTAAGGGGTATCTTATACAGACCATGCTGTCTGACTTCAAATTCACTCACTGATAACTACACAGAGCTGACTTTACCTCCTCTACAAAATGTGAAATGGGATGACATTGCCAAGATCCCTTCTAGCTCTATCACTGTTTAACCTTAAACTTTTTCTGTCAATATGAAAAAAGTATCAAATATCCATGAAGTTCCAAGTCCTGTCATTTAAACACCACCATGTCATTATATGGGAGACACTAGCTTTTCTATTTATAAAACAAGATCCAGAGGAGTTAATTTGTCCACAACACAGCTAGTTAAATGGCAAGACTTATTATGTCCAGGTTTTCTCATGTTATATCTACTTCGACGTTATTAGCGGCTTGTGATAGTTAAATCTTAAAAACGTGTGGCTGGCTGAGTATGATGGCTCACGCCTGTAATCCTAGCATTTTGGGAGGCCCAGGTGGGTGGATTGCCTGAGCTCAGGGGTTCGAGACCAGCCAGGGCAACATGGCAAAACCCCATCTCTATAAAAATACAAAAATTAGCCAGGCATGGTGGTGCACACCTGTAATCTCAGTGACTCAGAAGGCTGAGGCATAAGAATTTTTTGAATCTGGGAGGCGGAGGTTACAGTGAGCTGAGATCATGCCATTGCACTCCAGCCTGAGTGAAAGAGCCAGACTTTGTCTCAAAACCAAAAGTGTTACTAAGTTTTTAGATGTCATTTAGTAAAAGATTTTCAAAAGGAGATTCTTATCTATGTGGAGGGTCCAGATAAAATTCTTCATGTTGGCAGAAAAATTCCTCAAAACTTCCATCAGTTACATTTCCTCTACCTCCTGTTATGGTAAATTAGAATGGAGACCTGGCCTGAAGAATCCCTGAGCAGACAAAACCAGTTAGGCCTCATACATGACTTTAACCTTGCTTGATTTGCAAACATATGCAACACTTAACTTGGGCTATGTTTTTGGTAAATACCTATATTTTTTAAAAAAAGAAACTTAAGACTAAGCAATCAGATGCCATCAACTAACTTATGTAACTAGGGACCTTCCAACAGGATAGATCAAATTAGACAACCTTACAACTGTAACCAATCAAATATTTTCTTTGCTTTACTTCTGTTAGCCCTATAAACCTTCCCATCTTGCATCTCCACTGCAGAGCCCCACAACCACTTCTGGTTTGGAGCTACCTGATTCAAGAATCACTGTGTGCTCAAATAAAATCGTTAAAAGTTATCACGTCTCAGTTTATCTTTCAACACATGGTTTCTTCTCTCTTACTCTGTCTGTCAATTTAAACTTTTCATTAGTGTGAAAAATAGCTCTACTGTAATTCACAATACAAATAGTATCTTCTACTGAAGCAAAAATACAGCAATTAAGCAAGGCTAAATTTTTAATCAGAAAATGCACATATTTTCTATCATCTTTTCCCTTTTAGACTGAAACTAGATGCTAATACCTTACTTTTAAACTTTAATAACAAAGCATTTCTTATCACCATTGCATTAAACCTTTATGCATTTTTTCCTTTTCAAGCTCTTAGTCTTTGTTCAGCTGACTTTGTACGTGTCTAATAACACCACCAAAAATATGCCCATCACCACATCTTTTTGTTTCCAAGCACTCATGTGGAATAACCATCTCCGGAACTGCCACTTGCTGCTGAAATAGAGGTCAGAGAGAACTAAAAACTCAAAACAGCAGAAATGAACTCTCAAGAAATCACTGTCAATTTCACATATCCACAAAAAAGGGCAAAGTATGCAAAAAACTAAAAAAAGAAGACTGCAAGCCAACTATTTCTAAAGTAGACATTCCATCAAATCAAATACCTACATTTCAGGTACCTACATGTGATACATTTTTGTTTCCAAAATATACAGAATGTATCAGAGCATTGACATAGCCTTTTGAGCCATTTAAAAATCACTATTACATTTTAAAGGTAAATGCATGGTAAAAATAGAAACATTTATCAAAAGGGACTGGATGAACAAACTATTAAGTCACATAATGGAATATATGCAATACATGTAGAGTATGGATGTCTTAGCACATTGTCCCCATGTAGATGCTATAGTTGACACAAGCCAACAAAATTGGCAAAGGAAATGCATGTGTATGTCTGTGTGTGTACATGTTCACAGATCAACTTAGGAACATTCGCAGACACAAAACATGCTATGCTCTATGCTCTACAACAGGTTCATTAACTCTGTCTACCACCAATCTGTGGACCACGGGCACGGTCATTTCTGTCTCAGCTGTATGGCTGTTTCTTAGCCCACAGCACATTTATTTTACTTTGAAAGGATTACAATTATATTAAAAATCTACTCATGAGAAATTTTTATTATTGAGAGCTACATTTTTTAAAGTCTGATATTTTTTTAAACAGGAAAATAAACATACAGTTAGAAGATCTAAATAAGAATGTAAATTCACAATGAAGGGATGAAACATCTCTACCACCAATATAACTAATATTAGCAATTTCTTGAAATTCTTTCCAGAAAAATCATGTTTATAATAGCATGTAAATATTTATGGACAATTATGTATCACATGAATACATACTTATTCCATCACATACGTTGATTTAAAAAGCTATGTCTGTTGAAAATGTTAAGATATAAAATTATAAAAAAAAATTAAAGAGAATTTATTGAAAACAGAGAAATGACATGCATATGAATGATTCTAAAGGACAAATGAAGAGACAAAGATGGAATCTCATTTTGTATTAGCCACATTTCAAGTACTCAATAGCACATGTACTTAGTAGCTAATCTACTGAAAACTGTAGGTTTATAGCACATCAAAATAACCTAAAGAGCTTGTTAAAAATACCTATAACCAGTTCCCATCTCTGACCAATTGAAACAATCTTTGGAATAGGGCCAGGCATTCAGAGTGTGAAGCTCTCCAAATGCTGCTTATTTGCAGCCAGGATTGAGAGCCACCCAGCTAGAGGATCAATGTTAAGAGTTTACTTGCTCAGATATGTACAGAAAGGCAAAGCAGAGAGCAAATGGTGTAGCTAAGAAAATTTCCTTTTGGAAATTATTAAGACCTCATCTGACACAAAAGACTTATAATACAGATGAAGCTGGCTTATTTATGGAAATATATGCCCAATGAAATGTTACGTCAAATGCAAGAAAAATATGCTGGTTGTAAGGACCAACTCACACTCCTGCTTGTTGGAAACACATCAAGGCCATGCAAGCTTAGGTGATTTAGACTTAATAAGAAAAGGACTGCTCTCTTGGGAACCAAATTTTCTTCTAAGTAGAATGTCTTTAGACATCTATCCATAACTTCATTAGGAAAAATTACTACTGAATTAGGAGTATAAATCAGGAACATGCACTATTAAATGAAGTAATTAGGACACTGTCTCATTCAACAGAAATATACTGAGTGTTTAAAACCTTACAAGACTTTCCATCGCACTTAAGAGGTTAAGTTGACTCCCCTTGCTCTTCCTCTCTTCCTATTGTAAACCCTATCTGAACTCTACCTTTAACTTTCATATGTACTTCTTCTGATCTTATCCATCACCTACAAAACCAACTCAACCTACTTTCCCAATCCACCTTCCCCATCAAACACATAGTCACATGTATGTGGCACACAAACACAGTACCGGTCATTTTGAAACCCCTGTAAATTCTAGATCAGTGCTGTCCAATAGAAATGTTAAGGGCCCTATATGTAATTTTAAATCCTCAAGTATCCAGATTAAAATAGTAAAATAAAACAGGTAAAAATGGATATTTTATTTAATCCAATATATCTAAAATGTTACTTCAAAATGTAATCAATATAAACAATTATTGAGATATTTTACACTCCTTTTCTATACTAAGTCTTCAAAATCCAGTGGTATTTTACACTTCACGTCTCAATTTGGATTAGCTGCACTTCAAGTGCTCAATAGCAACGTATGGCTACCGGCTACCATACTGGACAGCACAGCTCGAGCCATCATGGTCCCTGCCCTTGGACTGTCACACATATATTTCTCCAGCCCATCTTCCCAATTTCCAAGGTGTCTGCCTTATCATCAGGCAAATGCCTACTAATCCTTCAGCACTTGATTTAAACGTCTCCTGTTCCAGGGTTGTCTTCACTGTTCCCATCCATCTAAGTCTGATATCCTTCCTGTGTGCGTCCACTATCAGCTTTATTACACCACTGATTTACAATAGGAGCAATAAGGGATCAGATATGAACATACTACCCCTGCTTTCAAATAATTTACAACTTAGTAAAGCCTGTAAAACATAGATGCATAAGAAAATGTACATAAACAAGCTGTAATGAAGTCTGTAATCTGAAGGTTGTGGATACAGACTACCTAAAGTTGTATGCCAGTTCTACTACTTAACTAGCTCTGTGATCTCCAGCAAATTACTTAACCTCTTAAACTTGTTTCTTCATCTGTAAATGGGAATAATGATAGACTAATACTCATGATGTTTTGAGGATTAAAAGAGATAATCCGATTAAGAAGCTTATGATGCCTAAGATATCGTAAGCCCACAAATGTCAGCTATTATCCATTGCCCAGTACAGTATTTGGATGTAATTAACAAATATTTCTTCACTGGATGAATAATGCAAATATATAAAAAATACAATAAAGAAATACTAACAAAATACTCTGGATATTCATAAGAAGGACAAATCTTTGACGGGATCAAGGAAGGTTTTGAGTCGGAATCAGCCTTTGATTATGATCTTATAAAACAAACAGACTAATGAGGGACAGAAATAAAAGAAAGAGGTACCAGGGATTAAAGCTGGAAAATTAGTATGGTGCCAAAGAGCAAATCTTTAATTCTGGCTTAGTAAGACCTATTCTTTGCTAAAAAATGAGCTGAAAGAGATAAATATATCTGTGAAAGTTTTTTGAAATTCAAGTAGTCTATCTTTAATATGGAGGAAATGTTACTGTAGTAACATAAATATATTACCAATATAAGTATATAATAAAATAAAAATGATTGAAGTTGTCAAGAGAATCCAAATTTATGCAGATATCTACTATAAGATTTTGTTCTTAGAATCTGAGATCAATTTAGAAATTGCATTGTCGTAAATGTATTGATACATGGCAGAAATAGCAGTCCTTTTTGAAGTACCAGTGAATTAGTATATTTTTAAATTTGGCAGTAGCTGTTGCTATGTGCAAGGCCTAATTTTTTTTACCAACAATTCCTAACTCCATACTTCTAACTTACAAAGTGGTATCCCACTGTCCCTGACTGATCTATTCTGAACTAATGAACGATTTCACTCAATAGATTTTTAAGCTGACTAAAATTGATATTGGGATGAAATTTAGATATCCAGTCTTGGCTTAATTGCGTGAAAATCTTCTTGCACCTTGATATTTTCTGATTAAGTGCAAAAAAGTGCCAGCATTGATGCATCCTGACTTTTTTAAGTTCTGTAGCTATGCTTACCTGGATAAAAGCCATTTCCACTGTCCTCTCTTTTATATGTTGGTATCCATGTAGCAGAAGCTTGGGTTTTCTACCATACACTCATTCCCCAATAATTTCCTCAAAAACTACTTACTGAGCTCCTACTGTGTGCCAAGCTCTATTCTTGGTGCTGGTGATATAATACGTGACAAAATGTGAAAATATGTCATTTTGGATGTCAAATACTATTCCTTTTATATTAGCTATCGTCCCTCTCTTAGCAGAAAGGATTCAATAGCTGCAGCCTCTAAAACTTACAAACCTTCCATGCCCAATCACAGAGAACAGCCATTTTCCTGAAATTCCATTTCACAATCGTTCTTTACTGGTTGGAAACAGAAATGAGATATAGTTCACTTACGTAATCCTTGTGAAGATGACGTACCGCATAACCAGACAACTTTTTACAAGCACTAAAACTTGAGAATGAAGTTCCTAGATACTTCATGATAAGACAAAATTAAGAAGTCTGAGAAAAACCAGACGGTAAGTTTCGGACCAAAAAAAAATTGAGGGTAAATAAGTTAAGCAGTTCAAGAAGAAAAGCAGCATAAATCTACATTATCAACCCCTACCCCAGTTCTCTTTAAAGTGTGGCTTTCCCCTCCCCTATGTTCTTATGGGGGATTCACTTCCCTGCCAAAAAGGATGCTCTTCTCTAAAACTTGTGGTGGATACATAACAAGTTTATTTAAGGGCTGCCGTTATCAAAGTGTCTTTCACTTTCCTCCCGGGGCCTCCTTTGCGATTGTCCGAAAACGGCCCCTGGTACGAATCGAATTAGACTGGACTCCCGAGAGGCCACCCAGGGGAGCAGGGGCGCGCACCTGACTCGGCCACAACGACGCGGTTGCTGCTGGTAGGAGTCCCGGTGGAGTCGGGACAATCTGAAAGGAGAATCCTCTCTCTGGATATTAAATGAGAGTCCCGACTGAGTGCCCAGAAACTTCTGCAGTCTTGTTTCCGTGGCCTGGGCCCTCTCTAGCCTCCCCAGTCAGGAGACAGACGCGCGTGGCGTTTCTCCTGAGCGTGCAGTCCCGCTACGCCACAACCCTAGGACCAAACCCGGCAGCAAGCGGCGCGGCCACTTGTCGCTGACTCCTCCGGGACCCTTCCCACTATGAGGGCACCCACTGACCATGGAACCGCCACTTCCCTGGCCGCCTCCTCCGTCACAGAACCGCTCACCTGCGACACCAGCGGCACCTCCCCACGATCGCCCCTGAGGGGGTAGGTAAAAAGATGCTTCATTGATTCCCCTCCCACTAACTTCGCCCGCCCATCTTCTGCCACCCATTGGCTAATGTGGCTGCCGTTCATTTGATGACTCTCATCCATTGGACGGAAGGGTGTTGCCATTCTGGCTGAGAGCCCGCCCCAGGCCAGGCCTCACAATGGGAATCGAGTCCCAAACCGGTTCCGGGTTAGTGCCCTGGAATTCCGCCCCCTCGTGATTCACCTCTCTCTCTGCGCTTCGTCTGTGGCGCCCAGCGCTGTCAGTCAAGTGGACTTTAGAAAAGGATTGGACCCTAGCTATCCGCTTGCTTCGCCGTTCCAACTGATGGGGGCACTAGCCGCGCATTTCCAAATTCGTCTCCTGTCCTTGACCCTCACCTGTTAAAAGGGCAAAGAAATGAGAGCCTGGTGCTGCTGCAGCCGGGTTCCTAGGCCAGCATCGCCTTCTCCCGGACCAGCTGCGACCTAATTGACCTCAACCATTCCTCTGAAACTGCCCGTGCCAAAGGTCACTGGTGACTTCCTTATGGCTAAATCTAGGAGTCCCTTCTCAGTCCTTATCATGCTATACTTCTCAGAAGACATTTGATTTTTTGACTATTTCTTCAATGTTTCCCCAAATGTGTGCTGCTTCTGCTTTCTTCTCGCCCAGTCCTCTTCTGTATTCAAGTTTGCAGTTGCTTTCTGCCGTCTCAGGTTCAGGTGTTTGTGACTGATGCTCCTTTCTTTCAGCTGCCTCTGTTCAGGCCCCTGTGAACCCACCTGAATTCCACAGTAGCCTCCTAACTCGTCTCCCAATATCCTGCCTGCCAGACTGTAGTTCAATTCTTCGCCCTGTAGCCAAAATGAGCTGTTTTATTTTTATTTTTTGAGACAGAGTCTTGCTCTGTCACCAGGGTGGAGTGGGGTGGCGTAATCTTGGCTCACCACAATCTCCGCCTCCCGGGTTCAAGCGATTCCCCTGCCTCAGCCTCCCAAGTAGCTGGGATTACAGGCTCCCGCCACCACACCCAGCTAATTTTTGTATTTTTAGTAGAGATGGGGTTTCACCATGTTGGCCAAGATGGTCTCGATCTCTTGACTTCGTGATCCACCCGCCTTGGCCTCCCAAAGTGCTGGGATTACAAGCTTGAGCCACTGAGCCCTGCCCCTGCTTAAAGTTTTTTAGTGGAATCTCACCACTGGTGATACAGTACGAACTTCTTATTGAACCCTGAAAAATAAAGGCACCTAGTTTCCCTCAAGCTTCAACTCTCAACATTATACCCACCTTCCTTGTTCCTTACCCCATTCCCTTTCCTTCTTTCAGTTCCTGAACTCTGCAGTGGCCTGGGGAGTCAGTTTGCATTGCTGTGTTTCCTCCCAGAAAGATTTCTTTCTGCCTCTTCACTAAGCCCAGCATTCATTTCAGATATTCCTTTCTAAAGGAAAGCTTCCCAAATTCTCTCCATTTACCCTACCTCCACTTCCAAGTTTTCCCTCCCATGTAGGTTTGCCAGATAAAAATAGGACTCTCAGTTAAATTTGAAGTTCAGATAAAAAGCAAATAATTTTTAATCTGTCCAATGCAATATTCGGTATCCATATGTTTATTTGCTAAATTAAAGAAATAAAAATTTTTATTTACTAAATCTGAAATCCAACTTCTGCAAGCTCTTATCACGGCCTTTCCTCTGACAGCTACCACATACTTTGTGTGGGTAGGGCTTTTTTTGTTAACTGTTGTGAATAAGGCAGTGCCTAAAATGTAACAGACATTCAAAAAAGATTTCATAAATAAATGATAGAATGTTCTGGATGAATGGTGAATTTTTGCTGGATATTCTTGCAGGAACTCTCCCATAAAATAGGAAGTAAGTATAAAATATGCATTTTAAATGTAATGGTCTGTTTAATCTTACAGATTGTTACTTATGACTTTGTCAGTAACTATAGACATGCTTGTTTAAGAAGCCTGTCTATACTTTTGCCTAAGTAGATCAAAAGAAACTTGTGTTATTTTTGGAAAAATACAAGTTGTATTTTATAATTTTGGATTTTTTGTGATGGGTGTTTTTTTTTTTAATTAATTTATTTTGTATGAGTACAGTGAGATAGAGAACTAGCTATCCTCATAACCATACACAATCAGTTCTGTTCAGAACCTGTCCACTGCTGGAATCTGTTTATTTACCTCAGTAACAGGGACAAGAATGCTGAATTGGTATTAACAAACTTTTGGTTTCATATCGTGAACTTTAAACTTTCCCCAAGTAATCTCAGTCTCTTTGCTAATTGCAATATCTTTTCCAGATCCCCTCACTATTTCTGCACAACTACATCTTCTTTGAGTGGAGATGGACCAACAATGAAGAGTTTGAAGGTAATCCATAATGTGTACTATTTGTATTCCATGACCAACCTGTTTGCTGATTTAATTTTTCTTACTACTAAGTCCAGGCTACATATTTGACCCAAAGTTACTTACACACTTATTTTGAAGCAAGAGCGACAGGAAACAAACCTCTCAAACACAGAACTGAGGAGGGAAGTGGCTTTTTATTTGGCCAGGAGCTGCGGGGGGGCTACAGCCTCATTCACTGAGCTCCCCAAGCTGCAGCTTCTCTCCCCTTTTATAGGCTTACAATGCTAAAGGGGAAACAATGCAAAAATATGTCATTGTTAATTTGCTGAATGACCTTACAATGTTTTGTCTTCATTGATTTGCTAATTCATATGCAGCATGAGCAGGGACCAGCAGGGGAGGGGGCTTACAGAGTCAAGACAAAAGCAACAAGCTGTTTGTTGGCAGATGTGTTTCCTGGAGGGAGCCTGGTCTGTGGAGATGTAGGGGCATGAACCAGTGCTGGGCTCCAGCCGGCAGGGATAGCATTCATTTGCAGCTCATTCAAGGTTAGCAGATGGCAGAGAAGCTGGGAACTAAAGAGGGAGTCATTTTCCCAGCTCCTTGATATTTTATTTTATTTTATTTTATTTTTCCTTCTTCACCTTCCTTCCCATCTGGAAGCGAGGGGAGGGAGGAGGTGCCTCTCTCAATTTTACAACTGTGCTGTCCAACTGTGCTGTAATAGCCAGATGAGTCATTGGAATGTGGCTAGCACAATCGAATCACTGAATTTTATTAATTAACTTTAATTTAAAAACTGATATTTGATTCAAAGTACTAGATACTTCTAAGTATATTTGGAAAACTTGGGTTATATGTATCTACTTTTCAATTGTCAACTTTTTGAAATATAAATATGGATCGAGTATTCCTGATTTAAAAATAGTGTCTAAATTGAGATGTGCTATAAGTGTAAAATATACACAGGATTCAAAGATTTAGCATAAAAATCTAAATATCTCACTGATAATTTTTGTGTTGATTATAAGTTGAAATTATAATATTTTGCATAATTGGGTTAAGAAAAACAAATTGCTAAAATTAATTTTTCCTGTTTTTAAATTATCTCCAGCTTTATTGAGGTGTGATTGACAAAAATGATACATATTCATGATGATTTGATAAGCATATACATTGTGAAATGATTACCACAGTCAATACATCCATCATCACATGTATTTACCAGTGTTTTTGGGGGCTGGGGGTGAGGAAACTTATGTATTTTCTTAGAAAATTTCAAGTAAGCAATATAATATTAACTATAGTCACCATACTGTATGACAAATTCCCAGAACTTACTCATTTTATAACCAGAGGTTTCTTCCCAACCCTCAGCCCTGGCCATATCATTCTGCCCCCTACTTCTATGAGTTCCAATTTTTTTTCTTTTAGAGACAGAGTCTCACTCTGTTGTCCAGGCTGAAGTGCAATGGCATGGTCATAGCTCACTGCAGCTTAGAACTTCTAGGCAAAAGTGATCTTCCCACCTTTCTAGGACCCCAGACATCGCTGCCACATCTGGCTATTTATTTATTTATTTATTGCTGAGACAGGACCTTGCTCTGTTGCCCAGGCTGATCTAGAACTTCAGCTTCAAACAGTCCTTCCACCTTGGCTTCCCAAAGTGCTTACAGGTGTGAGCCACCACATCTGACTAGAATTCAAGTTTTTGTGATTTCACATATAGGTGAGATCATACAGTATTTGTCTTTCTATGTCTGCCTTATTTCACTTATTATAATGTCCCCTTGATGCAAATTGCAGAATTTTCTTCATTTTTATGACTTCATAATATTCCATTAGGTATATGTATACACATATACACACCACAGGTTCTTTATTAACTCATCCATAGATGGACACTTAGGTTGTTTCCCATATAAATGGGAATAATAGGAAATGTTGGGACACTAGTTATGTTTATATAGTAATCATTATAGCAAGTGGGGATGACAGATTTATGTTTCAAAGACTAGTCTGCTATCTGGAGAAGTGAGATGGGTCCTGACACTCCAACCAGCATAAAGTCTAGTTAGGTTGCCATTTTTGTTTAGTGGGTGGTTGGCCAATCTTTGGTTTCTACTGGAACAGCCTATGTAATAAGATAAGCCAGTCATGATTTGGAGAATTATTAACAATCCTTAAATCATATTATCTTCATTACAGTATACCTATACAGGGAATGGCCTGTGGAAGAAACAAATCAAGTACAAATCTGTGCTTGCAGTTTAGAACATGTATCCTAGTGACTTTGTATTTGGAGCTCATTTTGAAAAAACACTTTTGGTACATCTCTCCTGTTTGGTATTAAAAAAGGCCTCCTGTAGAACAACAATTTTAGTATTTCTGTAGTACGATTACCTGTTTCTTTGAGTCTCCTAAAGAATGAATTTTATTTATGCAAAATAGCCTATGTTTTACATCACCCCATGCCAAATGCTCCTGAATATTTCGTGAAAATGGGTCCAGCTGTTTTTGTATGATGATGTATCAACAGAAAAACAGATGCACACATTGTTAGTAGTAAAGACTATGCATGTTATTGTCTCTAGTTGAGGAATTACTGTGTCTTTTTGTAACTTTGTGTTTATGTGTATGCATTCTTGATTTCCTTTTTATAAGATTTCACAGATTTTTTTGAGTTGGAGGCTTTT